AAATGTTTTGAAAAATATATCCAAATTCACTATGCTTTTTAGGTGTAATGAAACAAGTTCTGCTCATGAGAAATAACAGTTTTACCACAATACTTTTTCATAATCACAACAGTACTCATGGTTTTTGCAATGGTTGACTAGCTATTGAAAATTGATTCTGCTGATCTTGATGTTGTTTTGCATATGTCTTCTTTTTATTCTTACAATTTCAGTATTTTGCAATGCTGAGGCAGTTTGCAATCAAGGTGTGAATGTTTTGCAAATAGACAGATGGAACAGGAAGTGGTGAGCTGCAGAACTAGAGGGAATATCTGCTGGGAAGTATCACAGGGAAATGCAGGAAAGGCATACAGTATCACCTCCTTTGTAAGATGGAATTGAAATATAGCAGTTGAGGAAAAGCAGCTTCAGTCCGATAACAACTTTTGATGAACCTGAGGTTCTGCCCCCAGACATTTGAAAAGCACCCAATTTCTCCATGAGCACATGACTCTGTGTTGTTGTCTGGCCTCCCTCACAACTCTCCCTCACACACCAAATGTCTCTCCACCCAGCTGGGCATTCAGTTGTGAATTCTTCACCTTAGTGTGCATGTTGATTGTAAGGGTTCTTTTAAGTACTGTACAGTATATCTGGTTCTTTTGTTTTTTCTGTATCATTTGTGCTATGATAGTTTAATTGCAAATATCACTGATTGGCACAAGTGGGAGAAAGGCAGTGTTTGGGGGCTATTTTAACTTGAGCTATGCCTAAAACGGCTGTGTTCTTGTTGGGTATAGTGTGCTTTTTTCCCTCTCTTTTTAAGGTCAAACAGCAGACAGTTATCCTAACAGAAACAAGTGATCCTCAATTCCAAAACACCTGTCAATTACTACACAGTCAAAGATGACACATTATCTGTGTGGGGATGTTGACCCGGCTGTCTGTATTAATTTTGTGTCTCTTTTGTGAATCTTTATTTTTATGCTCATTTTTTTAAATGCTTGTGCTGCTGGTCTGTGGGTGCACTGGTGGTTCTGTGTGTCAGCCTGTGTGGGGTTGTAGCACCTTAGAAATTACAACTGTAGGTGGTGTAGGCGGCTACAATACTGACAGGGTGGGCACCATTTTAACACAATCATGGCCTCTGAGCACAAGATGAGTGAACAATATGAAAATTGGCAGTAATAGCAAGAAATGTGATGAGCTTAGATAAGAAAAGTGTTCGATAGACCTGCACGTGGAGAATCTTGTGCTTTGGTGGGTAGGTCAACGGGTGTAAATGAGTCAACCAAAAGTACAATAAGAAAAAGTAAGGAGTTGTTCAAGGACATTGTTGCGGGTTGAACTCATCACACATTCCCCCAGACTGAAAAATCAAGCAAAGACCAGACTTGGTAACAAAGCCATGATCAGTACACTCAACGTTTGTGAGTCAGGAGAAGTGAATGATTTAATATGTTAAATGATATAAAATAATATACCGTAGAAGTCATGATATAGAACTTATTAATATAAATGTTTGGTTAGCCATTGATACATATTGAACCATGGAAACCTAGCCCCTTATTTCAAGATGATCTACTGTAGTTACCGTTAGCCTCCCAAATTCTTGATAAAAAGTCCTGTTTACTGTCAAAGACAGGCTGCTGGTTGCTGTGACCCTCACCAGGAATAAACTGCTTTCAGATAATGAATAAATGGATGCTCAATTATTATTGTTTTATGGAAGTATAAATGCAATGCAAACCTAGAGTATATTAGGTAATATTATTAGCAACCTCCCCCCAAATGTCGTTGTTCTTGAGGAAGCGTCTGGGTGCTGTCATACATTTTATCTAATATATTAGAATAGATTTTCTAATTGTGGATTGGAAATTGTTGAAAATTTTTGTATTTTGTATGCTTGTGATTCAAATAGCAGCTGAAATATCCAACACTTTCAATTTACTTGTCCATTCTCATGTGTCACACTTACTTTCCTCTGCTGTATCCTACTGTATGTGGCAATGCAAACAACTTACTTTTCATCACTGTAGTTTCTGGCACATGTAAGGAGACCCCAAAAACTCTCCAGAGCATAGATGTGCTCATAGAAGTTTCCAGTTTACAGTTTCTTCTACTGAGCCTAAGAGATTTGGCTAATTGAGTATGAGATGGACAATAATGAAAAGAATGTTTTTTATGCCGAATTTTCAAACAGTGTGGAGCCCACCTCACAGCGGGTGCCCTCTGTGCTGCATAAAAATGATTCGATGAAAAGCCTTGGCCTTGAGCTCCCAAAGAATCTTGTAAGGACACACCACTTCATGACCTTGTGAAGAACTGAAGAAACGTGATTGTTAAACTTTGTGTTTGGGCACAGTCTTTGAAATTTTCTCCACACGTCTTTTATTTTTGTTATTTGAATAGCATCCACTGAGCCTGTTACACTCCCAGCAGAATGATAAACCATATGCAATTGCGGGAATCAAAGACTGATTTTCAAGTGGAAAACCTTTTTTTTTCATGACAATGTCACACGCATCTAGTGGAATGCGTTCTGCAATTGTGAGCCACTCTATTTCATGAAAAAAAAGAAGATGTGGAGTATCTTCCTTTCTGCTACCAGAATAAAAGGGCACTAGAACTGCCAGTATAAGTGGAAGTCACACATCTTTTGTTCCATAAATGAATAATGTTTCTGCCTACAGTATATATTGGGGAAGAAAAAGAAAGATGTATTAAATGATGAAAAGACACAGGTACTGTATATATTGAGGATATCATCAAATATTATCACAGATAACTGTACTTATGTAGTACTAATGATAGATTAGTAATAGCTAATAATAGATCTGACACATACTTGATGTGCATTTATGGGAGTTTAAATTTGAAACGTGGGAAAACAAAGTCACTAGGTGAAAATGTTGTCAGGAATTCATCTAAATGTTCATAATATTGAGCATTAATGAGCAAATAGTTAAGAGTACTGTAACTAGGTAAATAATGATGCAGAATCTGTTATTAGACATGGGGCACCCTTGTTGAATTCAATGCAAAATCATTGCAGAAAATAATTAGAAACTCAGCAAGTATATTAATATATTACCTACATTTTTCAGCTTGGAAATGTACCAGTTCAGAATAAGCTAAAATATGACGTTTCTGAAGAAATAGAGTTTTACAGTTGGAGAGTATTTTAGCAATTTTGCATGGATGAGCAAAGCGTACAAATAGCATAGAGCAGACTATGCTCTATGTTATTCCTCAATAGCAATTCATAAATGTTTATTGAGGAGTTTAGGCATGTACTTGGTATGGGTCAGCCACCTGAGACAATTAAGACCCCTGTGCGGTTGGAAAAGTTAACCAAGGGATGCTGCACATGTAGAGATCGGGAGGAGGCATGAAGAAAGACCAATGCGAGCAAGAGAGGTTTACTGTGTTTATAGATTCTTGGGAAGGTACAGTAGATGTAGAATTCATGGAGTAAGAGTAGCAGAGGTGAGGGATGCCTTGACTGTTGCCATTCCTCCCGAGCTCTCATTTTAAATTCCATGTGTTCAGCTATGAAATAAAAGTGTCTAGTTGCATTGTCTTCTCTAGAATGTGGCTTTGTTTTCCATGTTCAAAAAACAAAACAAAACAGCAGGTTAGTATAGTTTACATTCACTAACATATCCTTAACAAAGAATTTAAATATTTGTATTTCTTAAGTGAAAAACATTGAGTCTTTAAACTGTTTCATTTTAACGCCTCATTACTTTTATTGTGATCTTTCATTGTCCATAAAGAGCCTGAATCAAATGTGAGGACGTAAAAAAAAAATGCTCATTCCACTTGCAAATTACTCAAGAAATGTTACAAATGCAAGATGGCTATTTGGCACATCTAATGAAGGCTGAAAGCCTTGAAGGCTCAGCTATTTTAATGTATATACAGTAAGGGGTTCTTATGTATTTCACCGATTGCATTTCAAGTTCAAATTGAAAGGAAAATGCATAATTAATACTATAAACTCTATCTGGGGGCTGTTTTGGAATGGAGACATTAAAAAGAGTACTTCAAATTCCTAGCAAACTAGCAGAGGTGTTGGCAGTAATGATCATGAAACTGATCCTTGATAAGACAGCAGTCATCAAGGGGAAATCTTTGTGTTGTTTCGGTGGTGCCTATCTGGAATCTTCAAAGACCCCCGAGAGATCACTTGATCTTAGGCTGAGATCAATTGCCCAAGGCAACTAGTTCATAGTGATGTCTCAATCCTTTTGGAAGCCCTAGGAACTACTGTAAAGTGCAGTTCAATCCACACATGATTAACATGATCCATGTCCCACTGTGGTGGGACTGGGCTGCATTCCCATTGGAATAAATTTGCCAACCTGTTCTCGGTGCACACAAGTCCCAACACATTGTGTGTTTTAGCCATTGAATTAGAGATGCTGATTTACAGTATATATTTGTCAGGTGAAAAACTCAAACTTGCGAATACTCTGGAGGTGTTGTGATGTAATTATCCAGTAGTAATGCCACATTTTATTCCAGGAAGTTTGCTTTCTGTCAAGAGATTGGGCCTTTGCTTTGGTAGTTAAATTATATAAGCATTCCTTCGTCCTTCGGATGAGAAGTAAAAGCGAGGTCCTGACTCTCTGTGGTCATTAAAAATCCCAGGGCGTTTCTCAAAAACAGTAGGGGTGTAACCCCGGCGTCCTGGCCAAATTTCCCATTGGCCCTTACCAATCATGGCCTCCTAATAATCCCCATCTATGGATTGGCTTCATTACTCTCTGCTCTCCTCCCCACTTATAGCTGATGTGTGGTGAGTGTTCTGGCTCACTATGGCTGCCGTCGCATCATCCAGGTGGATGCTGCACATTGGTGGTGGTGGAGGGGAGACCCCATTAATCAATTTCCCTACGGGATTAATAAAGTATCTACAGTATCTATCTATTACCTGTAAAGCGCTTTGAGTGGAGTGTCCAGAAAAGCGCTATATAAGTGTAAGCAATTATTATTATTATTATTCCTTAAAACCTTTGGGATCGTGGGTTTATTGCAGCTACTGTTCTTTTTCCTTTGGTTTCGTGCATTTAAGAATTGCACCCCAGCAGTACACTAAAGGTCAGGAATGTCAGGGGATCTGGGCAGTGATGTTAAGATGAATCTTGTGCTCTGTGAGCTTTAGTGTTGCAACCATCAAAGTTAATCTGTAAAGGAATGTTACACATTTTAGAATGACTATTCATGCATAGACGATCTTTAAAGTTTATGTTTTATGTGCTTTGTACTAAGCATCATAAATTGCTGAATTGAAGTTGGAGGTCTTTTTAACAGCACAATTACTATAACAAGGGACATACTGTAAGTTTGTTTCTAAATAATATGGGTGTTTCTGGCAGTAAACATGATAATGCATTCTCTGGAAGAAAAGAATGGGAGAACAGCAACAATTGTATATATATATAAAAAAAACCTTTTTTATTCTGGTAAGGCTGTATATCTAATGGAGGTTTCTGAAGATGTAGGCTATTGTTTTTTTCTCAGTACCACTTTCTCATCTTGTATTTATGTTAGTAAAATCTACCAACCAACAAAACAAAGACAATATAACATCTGCTATCAATGTCAGATGCTAAAAAAATGAAAATAAAAAATTAATTTTTGAAGAGGCCCAGGCTTTGATGCAGTCTAGTTCAGAATGAAGAATGCTTTTGTGTTTTGTGAGATTTATCTCAGCTGTGTTTTATGTCCAGAGATAATACAATGTGGAAAGAGAACCCCCTCTGGTGTTAAAACACTTCACTTGTCAACAAATAAAAGCTATGAGTTATATTCAGTTGTAGTTTTAAAGCTTCTCTGGGCCAAAACAAATGCTGGAAAACCATCCAATACAAAGAGAAGAGATTCCTCTCACAATGTTCACTCTGGATTCAGAGCTGATTAATAGTAAAACTGTCCTTTGGGCATTGTGAAGAATTCTGGTATCACCATCTTGTGACTTCATGAATTGGATGAAGGTTTTGAAATTTTATATACAGAATATTTAAATACAAAGAGAGCTCCCATGAAACACACAGACCATGCCAACAGATAACTTAAGATATACTGACATTGTTTTTTTTCCAGTTTACTGGCAGAACTTGCCTGCCTTATTCCTGCAAAAAAGGCAACTTTTTCCTTGTTTTTGTTTCTTTTTCAAATCATCCAAAATGGACAGCTAAACCACTATAATGCACTGAAGATGTATGGCATGTTTAAGCAAAGCCAGCATGCTGATGTTGCATGATGGACCAGGGTAGAGGCAGAAGGCTCTATTTTAAAAGTTTTTCCATGTTGATTTCATTAACTTCTTTGTGCAGAAGATCCAGATATGATCCAGTTTGACCATTCATTGAGGATCCTTTTTTATATTGAAGGCTCAACATCTGGCTGGAACATACATTTTTAAAAATATGTGATGATTGTACATCCTTGGAATAGCTGTTGTATATGTTTTAAAGGAAAAAACATGTTTCCATATTGCAAAAGCCACACAAGATCTATAAATGCCACTAGCATGAGATGAAGTCACCAGTTCAGGACCCATTGAGCAAAATGGTCAAGTCTTGTTTTTAAAATCCTTGGCACCTTTTTTCTTCCTCAGAACAATTTCAAGTCTTTGTCTTGAATATCATCCTTTAGATCACAACATGAAGCATAATCCGTTCCTGTCCCCATGTAGTAATGGTTTTGTCCATCTTATGGAAGAGTTTGTGTTTGTTTTCTTTGAAAAAGCTCTTTGTTAGGTCCTGGGATGAATCTGAAAAAGATTTTAAAAAACACTTAGATCAAAATGCAAAGGTATACTCCATTTTAAGCTAATGAGAATCACACCCAGAGGAATGCTTTTATTTTGTATTTCAGAACAAGGAAATCTTTCAGCAGAACTATCCAAAATTCATCCCCTAACTGCTAAAACAGTTAGAAATACTAAAACAGAAACATTGCCTTTTAATGAATAACAAACATATCTAGTGCTCAGGGAGGATAAAAATGTTTAAACATGCAGTCCTGAAGCTCTTACAGTCTTGAATCATTGTGGCACTCTGTTTATTTTTATCACATAAACAAGACTGCCCTCAGCAACACTGTACCCATTGAAACATAGAAATCACACGAACTGTTCATGACCCTTTTGTTTTCCAAGTAATGTGTATATTTTTAACTTAATGTTGGAAGGGCTTTCAATTTTAAATCATTTTAACATATGACTGAGAATTACGAATTTATTCCAGGTTTGGATTAAACAGTTGTTTAAAAAAACTATTTTCAGTACAGGAGAAAAGATAGTGCATGCTTGCTTGTGAAAAGTGTTCTTGTCAGAGCTGTCTGCCATAAGAAGAACATCAGGCATGTTCCAAATAAGGGCTTATTTCTAGTTGTTTCAATGCTAGAAGCGAATTAATACAAACGTCTTCAACCTGAAAGAATCAAGGGTACAAGTTCCTGGAAACAGGGTATCATGGCTAAGCTCTTTCCAGACTACTACAATCCTTTGTGTAAAAAAGTCTCTCCTGTTTGCACTTTTAAATGCACGTCCATGTAGTTTCCTCTTGTATCCTATGTGTGTATAGCATGTACACCTAACAGTTAAAACCAAGTGGAGGAGTTACAGTATGCAGCTTTCATTGGCAACAGTGCAAACTCATAGGTGCCAGTCAAGTACTACAAGACATTTATGCACAGATAGCTGGCAAATCCCTTTACTGCTGTCTAGGGCTGTAGCCCAAACATAAACCAGAGATGTCTGGACTATTTTGTAACTCGTCTGCAAAACAAAAAGGCATCTGCTGGACAAATACATATGAATAATATGGAGCTTAGCCTGCACGCTGTGTGATTTAACCTACTGTATATTGAACTGTGCTTAACAAATCAAGAGAATATTCCTTGAATGAAACTGAGGTTATAACCACACATATAAAAACAAGACAGATTTCATAGCAGTTATGGCTGCTGAAAGGGGGCCTAAACTACAGTTAGAGATGTCTTTTTAAAAAAATACAGGGTTTAATATTGCTCACACATTTTATGGTAACAAATGAATAAGAAAGTAATGATAAGTGCCAGTTATATAACAATATTGTATTACTCAAATAATACTGTATTACTGTACTATTGTACTACTGTACTATTGTAAATGTATTACTTGAATAAATGGGTTTACAAAATGCAATATTCTAAAGAAAATGTTTTATTACAAATACAATGATTATAATCTCCAAAGAATACTAGCTTTAATTTATTAAGTTTTGGATCTTTTCTTCTGGTTAGTACTGATTGGAGAGTTGTCATGTAAGAATGGCAATGAATTCTTGTATGGACATTTGTGATTTGACAGAGTAATGGTGAAATTTTACTACCCATGTCACTTCCATTGCCTAACCAAGCAAGTGACAGACAAATCAGAACAAAATACTATTTTTGAAACATAAGAATTTAAAACAAATTTTTATTAATTTTTTTGTTGTGCTTTTTTACCGTTTTTTTTAATTACATTAATACGTTTTTAAATATATGAGAATGATTGATGAAACTGTTCAAGATGTCGCCTAAGCCTAAGAAACAACATGCCAAAAAATGTATTGTACAACATGCTCTGAATGAAGGGCTGGAAATGCTTTGATACAGTATGTGTGCGTACGTATATACAAACACATCAACATTATTTGATTTATTGATTAGCCTTTCTGGAGAACTGACTACATTTTTCATTTTTCTAAATCCTATTAGGACAAATTAGACTCCATATTAATAACAGTTTATATTTCATATCTTAAAATTATATCTTATATATTTTTTTAGTCAATTAATTTCTCTCTTTAATCCTATAATAAATGGTTCAAATCAAAACTCACACAAATAATCATATTAAATCAAATATTGAAAAGCAAACAATTCTGAAAAAAAAACACCTTCCCTAAATTTAAATGGATTCTGTGACTGTTGCCTAACCTTCATTGGTCCTGATGACAAATAAAGATGTCTTCTTGTTATAAAAGTGCAATTTTTCTGCATCACAACCTATGGTGCTATGCATATACTGATGCTAATTAAAATGACCCCTGTGGGTACATGAAACACTTTTAGCATATTTCTGACAATGTTGCATGTTCCCTCTTAATAAACAGCTAGGTATGCTTCGACTAGTCCACAGGGACTCTAATGTGAGGATTAATAAGAATGCTAAGGCCTAATCACTACTCCCAGGGAAATGTCAAACTCAACACATCTTATGGTTGAAAGGAAAGAGACAACACATCCATTTACAGTCAAAAATAAGCAGGAACATGTCACGCAGAGGGACAAGTCTGGACAAAGATAAATTTGTGCCACTGCTGTCCTTTTATGTTGTCATCACTGAAGACTGTGAGCAAGATGTGTTTTGATGGACAATATAATGAATTTGCAAGCTCATTTTTGCCTCTGCTGCTGTCCTAGGATCTATTCTTTTATTATTTCATTGTGTTGTAATTTCATTTAACATGACAAATACTGGGTGAAATTTGCATTCATAGTTCATTGGATCACAGAAAAAGGACTAGCACTTGAGATTAAAAGAAGTACAGGGTGAGATAGACTGGTCCTTAAATTCAGCTTGAAGGTACTTGAGAATTTGAACTGCACATAAATTCTTTTTTTTTTTAATTTTCAGAGGAACAGTTTTCCCTACTTCTAAAAAGAACTTGGCACTGCGTGAGTTTGGGGCATCCTTTGTTTTTATTTTTGCTTCCTCTACTGGTACAGTATAAAGATGATCACGATCTTTAGTGTAGAAGAAAACTCCAGACAGTCAGATGCACCAAATTTATTTAATGTGAATAGCTTACACAGAAAATAGCAAATTAACAAACAGGCAGTGTACTGTAAGAAAGGTGTTTTCTCATCTTTAGTTTGCCATGTGAATTGATTCTGACTGTGTATCTATTCAGGCTCCTCAGGTTTGCTTGTCAAGTAAAACTACATAGTCCTGATATTTGTTAATAAACCATTTTTGCTCTGAAAACCAATAGCACACGCCTATCTTAAATTCAAGGGGCATTGAAGAGTCCCTTATGTTATCCTAATAGAAAACATGTAGCTTTTAAAACAGAATTTACAGAATGTACAGAATTTGTTAAAGTCTTGTAATTGTCAAAAGTCAAAATAAGAATAAAGGGTTATTTTCAGATGCACCAATAGACAATTTATGGTTTTGAGATTGAATTTGTTTTAAAATACTTCTCAGAGATCAAACATATTTTTTACCTATGACAGTGGGATTCAAAATGTAGTCACTGGACACAGTTTAAGATCTCCTATTTTTATATTGTAAGACATTGTATTCAATTTTTAATTTGTAAATTGTCTGCTTATAACAGACCTTTTTTTCATAGCCAAGAAATATAGCATAGGCAATGTTTGAATGGGGCTGTGGTTTCGACATAAGATAAACAAAAAGGAGGAAATTAACAATCTATTATTTAGCCACTGAAGAAGATCATGAAGATCTTGGATGGGCTTTTGATAGAAGGTATCAGCTGAGATCACTGGGACATCTCAAAATTAAGCTTGTCCCTGTATGGTGACATAGGCAAGGAAGTTCCCTCTCTGAAAGACATAAAGAAAGACAGAGAAAGACAAGGCCGTCAGGTGCTTGTTTTGAGGGTGCTAACTCAAGTGCCAAAACAAAGTTTCGATTGAAAAAGTTACTGTTGCTTTTCAGAGCAAAGTACTGTAGTTAGGTAGCCATGGAAATCTAGAGGATAATTTGATCAATCTTATGAGAAATCTTCAAGTGCTTGCCAAATGCGTTATATATTTAGACTGTTTAATATGAAAAATTCTTAGAGGAATGTGACTTTTGAAATGAATGATAAGTTGATAATATTAACAATAATTAAACCATCAGTCTATTTGCTTACACAGCCCCTGATAAATGAGGTCTGGGGGTTGTGTGAATGTCCTAGGGGTTTTGTCAGCAGAAAAGAACACCATGAAAGACTAAAATTTCATATTCACGAAGGAGGCAAATTGCTAGGAGATACCATCTAGACAAAGGGTTCCATTTTCTAGAAAGCCATCTTCCTACAAACCTCTGAAATAATTAAAAATGCATGGATTAAATGTGATGGGATATGACCCTGCAGATCTGCAAGGCAGAGTTGACAAGATTGAGGAAAAATTATTTTACGCTGCCAGTAGCTTGTTTCTGTTTTTGTACTTCAGTTTGTACAGGAAGAAGTATTTTAGTGTACTTCTGCATCTGCACCAGGACCACTGCCAGCATCTGATAATGTCACCAGAACAGAAGGATAAGCATAGCCTTCCCATGAGTCTTAATCCAACCATAGGCTTACATGAAGAGTAAGCATGTCAGAGATTAGGAGATTATAGGATTTGTGGATATCTCCACACATAAAAGATCAGACTGTTATGTTGTCTGCCAGACAGAACAAGCAACACTGGCAATCATCTCCTTGAAAACAAGACGTGTAAAAAAATCAGCCAAACAAAAGGACTAAGTCACATAGAGCTTTTGTTGGTCTGCTGGCCTGGGTGATATAACAACCTATGATCAATGGTCACTTGGATATGTTGCAGGATCATTTAGAATGCATTTCAGATGGTGCTTTCTGCTGTGTAGATCTCAACATGAGAGATGCAAATCAAACTGAAATACAGCATAAATGAGTTGAAAATGTCTACTTAAAAAATAGGTCTAACCAATAAACAAACCATTCTATCATTCCTACTTAATACAGTATGTGGAAGCTATGACAGTATCATTTTAAAAATCTATATTGTGTGCAACTAGAACTCTGAACAGTGCTGGAAGGATGATAAGCTAAGCTATAACCTGTAACTATGCATGTACTGTATAGCCTGTACGGTATATGCACCTTTATGACTCTATAACATATAAGACATCAAGGAGATGACTTTCTTCATGTTTCAAGAGTGATTCACATTTTAAGGATAATGAACAGAGTTCTCTTTAATTTGTGCTAACTCAGAAATCGCAGATCCTAGAATTGTATGCTTTTGCTGAAGTTCTTAGATACATTTTGGAAAGGCAGTGCAAACCACAAAGCTTCTATAAGTGGCACCCTTGAATGTTAATGAAATCTAACATTCTTGAGATGCTGGGTTTTGCAGTGCAGTCTAGTTGTTTTTTCTTGACTTTCTTCCAAAACCTGGACAGTAAGGGTTTAGGTCTCTATCTCCTGACTACTAGATAGCCAAGCATTCTTGGGATCAAGAGTCTGATTATAGATTGATGGATTATTTACCTTCAGTGAATGGCTGTTCAGTGTGCTGTTCTGGTTCTGGTCCTAATGCAGCTTTTGCAGATTTGTGCCACAGGGGTTAAGCATCAGTGGAGGGCAGAATCAAAGCACTAGCCTTGAGTCATGCTTGCCTTCCCTGCAGGAGCACCATAAGGTTCAACTCAAAGTTGGCTAAAGCTTTATGGCACGGAGATCTCCATCTGGGCCTGTTCAGGGTGGGGGGATGTTAAGATCCCAGATTTTGGGATCAATTTTATACATGTACAGTATGTCCTGTATTTGGCCACCAGGATATCCCTACATCTGTTTGTTGAGAGGGTCTCTGTGAACTTTGTACACACTTGCAGAAAACGCAATATTTTATAAGGTGGACATTTAGAACTGGTTTGAACTGGATTGGAAGGATGCTGGACACATGGGCTACCATGTAATTCTATACAAATTTGTATGGGAATGCTGTGCCACAAACCTAAGTAACCAATTGTATTAAATTGTATTAAAGATGTTATCTTTAGCAAATAGTGAGGTAGGAAGATGTGTGTGATTTTGGAACACTGACAAGTAAGCACAGGGAAGCATGATAGATAGAAAACTAATGTATGTAAGGACTGTTCTAGTTTAATTACTTTGAGAAAAATACACCAAGCATCTCTGTGTGTTTTGCTCCCATGCGCATGAAATGCAAACTTCTTTTAACTTCTGAGACAGACTCCTGACTGTCTTTTAAGGGGAAGGGGGAAAAATCTCTCCAACATGATCAATAGAACTGAAAACTGATACAATACATGAATGATGAGCCACGTTTCTTGGCAATAGAAACTTTAAATACAGGTACTGTATGTACTGTGTATAAAATGTAGGTATGCTGAAATGTCATTATGATTTGTTATTATTTACCATTGAAAATGGAGCACCAGCTGTGATTCTGATGATGAAAGGAAAGATAAAATGTACTGTCTGCCAAACTAACCTTTAAGAAAACAAATGCAATGCCGCACCTCTATTTTGCAGGATTTAAGGTCTTCTGTGTTTTGCCTCCAGAGCTAAAAAGATGAATACGGCTGGGTGTTCTGAAAAGAAAAGTCATGGAGAAATTAAATTTTTTATTGTTCCTGTCAAAGTTTTTTTTTCCTGCCCTAATGACCAAAAAAGTGATTTACCTGCTGTGTAGGCAAAATTGATGTGCTTCTATTTTGTGTGCTTGGTTTAAAAAGGAGGGAAAAAGAAAAGCATGATGTTGAATGCAAGTTAAGATCTGAGGCAGGGTTTGAAAATAACATCTACTACAATAGTAGCAAACACAAAAATGCAAAGATGGGTACTATCTTTTAGATGCCAGGGTTATAATTTAAAATCTTACCTTAGAATGCAGAAATTTGGAATCCAGTCAACTTCTTTTCACTCTAGCTGGGCTTGGAAAAGTACACAACCAGGAAGAAAATACTTTCCAAAATCATGATAAGTATCCTTTGCCTCTTAGAATTTGTAGTTGAGAAAGAAATTGACAGCTGCACTTTTAGAGATGCTTTTGCTTTTAAATGGTCTAATCTCACTTCAGATGTGAAGGTCATGTGTCCCAGTATTAATGGAAGTTGCTACAGTTATTTAATAAAATTATCAATTCTATCACCATAGCATGTTGTTCTGTGCCAGCATAGGGCTTATCATATGTTATATGAACTTCTACTGTGAGTAACTACAGTAAATCTAATGTATATATTTTGATAAGTAACTGATATCACCGTGGTTTCAAAAATACACTTTGTTTAATAGTGTTGTTCAGGAAACATTCCTATTTTCAGTATTTATTTCTTTTTTTTCCCTTATGTGTACACCCTGTATGAATGATTTATAAAGCTTGCTGATTTGATACTTAATTTCTTGGACAGTTTTTAGGCACACGTCAATATCATTTGCTCCACTCCTTAGTGACACAGGAAATACATACGCTAGGAATAGTCAGTAATCATGTTTTGTGTGTCCTCAGCTTTTTAAACAGTGTCAAAGCCTTGTGGCTCTGTGATTTTAGTTTCATATTTACGTTTTAGTATTATATTTGTTTTCAAAACAGAAAGAATAATTACTGTATATTCAAAGTCACACTTGCAGTACTTAAATGAAGACCACATCTCAAATAAGGATAGGAGCCCCAAAGTGTCTGCAGTAGACCATGACATCACCCTCTTTAAAGGAGAAAGAGATTGGGATAGTTGAGATGGCAGTCAAGGCTTCAAGACAAAATCATCCAAATGGAAATTAAACAGTTAAAATTGTATTATAAAATAAGTCTGCTCATGGAATCTCCAGATAATTTACACTGGGGAAATTCTCATTAGCTAGTGTAGTAGGTAATGATCGTGCAAATAGCTACTATTCTAGTCTTTCTGAACTGACGTTGTAGTCTGGAATATGTTTCCATTAGGCAGCATGGGTTGAAAGCAAATTACTGCTTATGTCAGTAAAAGAAAACCTTGTGTTGAGATATTTTATGAAGTATTTCAGTACAAATGCAGCCTCAGAAAAAAAAGAATCTATACCTGTTCTTGCTATTGAGTGCAGGTGTATTAGGTTTTCAAATCCCTAAAGATTGGTCTGGTTTGGGAACAATACCTCTCAGTTGCTTTTCTTTAGAACAATACTAACTGTGGTGGATGAAAAGATTAATCTTGAATTTATTTAAAAAGAACAAAGAGTCTTTGCTAAAGAAATGATATTTTATGATGTTATGCACTTTTACAGAATTAAGATGGCTTTTTAAAATCAATTTTTATTAGAATTCACCTACATTAAGAATCCTATTATTAATATAAGTAATTGTTGGCCTATACAGTATGTATTTTTTTTGTATATTTCAGAATAAATACGACCACCATACAGTTTAATTAAACAGCAGTTTTTGTATACAATGGATAGCAATTAAAAAACACAGTGAATTGGAACAAAGACATTAAAAGCAGCTTTTAGATGAAATTATATTTTTAATGAAGTATACAGTATTTACTGCATAATAGTATTTACAGTACATTATGCAGTAATTCACATGTATGGTTAAAAGAGAAGGTTGCAGCATGCAGTTTTCAGTGTTGTAGCTGTTATGGATCATTTTGTGTTACATATATATTTCAATGTTGCCAAAATGACAGGAAGAATAGTCTTTCCAACCAGCTGTACCAAATCAAACCACTTTCAAAGACAGGAAAGCTGGTGCCTGAAGCACAGCATCAATAAGATGTAGGAGGAAGAATAGATAATTATTGTATTAAAAGGTAGATCTTTCTGTTTATTGCACTACAGCTTTAGGGATTGGTAATACTACAGTACATGATGAGTTTTGGGGGGGGAGGGGGGGGGGTTGACTTTTAATTTTGAAGGAAAGCATTGATGGTGACTTTTGTTTGGACTAGAGAGACTAGAGAGTTGTAACATGAGATTTCCTCAGTACTATACTGTACATTCAAAAATATTTAAAATGAAAATGATGATAGGTCCTTCTGTGTCTGGACCTTTCTTATGATACACTGATAACGGTGCCTTTCTCTATTATCAGATAGTGCCTCTATGATGAGAACAGCAACATGCTGGGAGGCAGTTAAGAAGGATCTCCTCTCGTTTTTTCCAAACGCTAGATAGCACGAATGCTGTAGACAGTTTTTGCTTGTTTTCAGAGAATATATATATGTCATTATCCTCATTAGCTCTGTATTGCCACACCATTTGAATATAGTAGAAAACATTTTGCATATTTAACAGATACTAATGAACCCATATTCTTATTTTAAGACATATTTATTAACTTACTCCTTACGGTTTAAAGCTTGTCTTATACAATATTGTTTAAGGCATACGGTGTCATAATTCACCCTTTATTTTTGGATTAGACCGGTGTTATCACAGTACTATTAGCACTATTGTTAAACAGTTTTACTTTTCTACGATGTAAAGGTGGAAAGTTTTGAATGCTCACCCTTGTGGTCTTGATTTTGTTCCCAGATGAGCACATCCAGCCTGAATTATCAGGTAATGTCTTGCACTCCTCGCCTTCCAGGCACGGTTCCATCTCACACCACCACTTTCCGATCACTATGGATGCTGCAGGGGATGAAGAAAAGAAAGTCAAAGCTTAGCTAATGACTTCCCTGCCCTCCTACACTTTCAGCTTACAATCTTTCGTTATTTCGGCAATCTATTATTGTTGCATCTTTATACACAGTGTTTTGTGTACCTGTGTTTGTCTTTATCTCTTTAAACTTACCTTAGTCTGATTTTTAGTACACTGCTAATTACAAGGAGAGCTGTCTTTCCTTTACCATCTCAGCTGCTGAGTGCTCTGTCTTGTCAATTCCTCAAGCGCAGTTTACAGGTGATGGCTAGGACTTATCATTTCAGTCCTGCAGTTTAATAACAGATATACTGTACATGTACTGTATGCTGTTGGGCATTTATTTTCACCAGTTGGTGAACAAGACATTCCGAGGATATTCATTTCAACAAAATTGATATGGATGCCATGTACGGTGATCACCATTGCAATATTTATTCTACATATTATAAATTAAACATAATTATGGTTAGTAATGATTAAAACACCATCCTATATCCAGAGGGCAATGAATAAGTTAGTAAACTATTAAGCCATGTTAATTAAATTTTAAAGAGTGCCCCAGTGTTGTGATTGGGGACACTATGTTGTAGGAGATGCCATTCTTCATGTTAAATCAAAGTCCAGACTTGGTCATTAAAGATCCCATGACACTGTTTATAAGAGTAGGGGTGACAACCCCAGCGTCCTGGCTAAATTCTGTTCTGAGTTTACACAATCTGGCTAGCAAGGGCTTAATTAACTTTACAGATCTTTGATTACATTTGATTAACAAATTTGTAGCACATGCCATTAGGTGTACAGTAGGCTTGGGCTGGACGGAATAAAGAGCCAAAGAAAGATTTAAGTATGTTCTGTATATGAACCTCTACATGTTACATTTCATGTAATATTAAATCAGGTCAGGAAGTGGCACTTATTGTTGTAAATTAAAGAAAAATTGTCAGTACAGAACATATCTCTATGACTGTAAACTAAATAACTATCTTTTTTACACAATAAAAGATAAAAAATTGGCCTGTAATATTGTTAATTAAAGGAAATTAATATGAAAGCCAGTGCAGAACAGAATATATTTATATGACTATATCTTGAATGATTAAAACACTTGCTGATATTATGTAACACTGGTCTACTGAAAAAGGAAAATCTTGCAGCTATCTTTTCAGTTTTTGCTGTGAACTTTCATACCTTTATCATTTCTCTGAAAGAGTAGAGTTTGTCTTGTTCTGTACTGTTCATTAACTTTGAACTTTGTTATCACAGCAGCTATCGCTGCTAATTATCTTTGTCGGAATCCTTATGCTATGACTCAACAGAAAATGTAAAATACTGATTTTTTTTCATATGCCTGATGGTTCCTTCTGTACCACATGAGATTGAAGTTCGGTGATGTGTTCTGCTGCCTCACTGTGAGATGGCTTTCAGATGCATCACATTACTCGGCTTCTCACAAGAGAAAATTGCTATAAATAAAATTTAAATAGGGAGCACATTTCAGATGCTGCCGGTGAAAAAGACTTTGTCAGCTTAATGAAAAGATATCAATTTTCTTCGCTTTATTCAATAAATTGTGGTTCATTTCTAAATGGAGTAGATTAAAAGAAAGTTCAGATTCCCGGTGAGATGCTTTTGACACAGAGGGAGTCTTCTGATGAGAGATGCACCACAGAGCTACCGAAAAAAACCTTTTAGTCAACAGAAAGGGATATAACTGCAAAAGAGTTTTGTGACCTTAGGATTACCTATTGCTTTAAAAGCAGAAAGTAACACTTTATAAAGCGAAGTACCATCTTTATGCATTTTTACAAGTTGCTGTGGTTTTCTGGGCAGATTGCAAGTTCATTGGGTCAAGAGACGTCTAAAATTTAATTTACGTGGTTCTCAAAGTCCTTTAAGCTGGTGCCTTTGAGCTTTTATTTTCTAAAGGCTTCTGCACCTGATCTTCTTTCCTATTACAGATAACACCTCCCCCATCCCCCAGGTAATTCAACTGGACATAGGTTTTGTATCCCAAAATCTATACTGCATTTTCAAATATATTTTTTTTCTAGGAAGGTATGCAGTTCTCAAATTTCTAGATAAAATCAGTACAAAATTAATTTTCATGAGTGTGAATGTAATAGTGTGGTATGCACACTGCTTGTAGCTGTTTTATTAATAATCTTGCTTTGTGTAGGATTAACACTGTTTCAATCAAAATTTTTACTCAAATGTATACATTATATATGACATCCAAGAACGGTCTCTTCTTTACTTAACAGAAAGAAGAGCAGAATAAAGGAATATGTGTGAAAGGAGAAATTAAAAGGAATATATGTGAAAGGACACTTGTGGTGTCAGTTTTCCCGCCTAAAATAATAATAAAAAAAAACATTTTGAAAGCTAAATGTATAAAATAACTGTTGTGTCTGGAAAAACCTACTCTACATATCTAGCATTGATACTATCTTCTTTATTCTTCCTCAGAAGCAAAAATGTATACTGTATATTCTTGCTGTTAAACTCAGAATTTATGTACTTAAAACCCCTAAGGCAGGCTGAAAAAAAGAGTTCAGGAGACAGGGATTTGAAGGTTAAATACCCAATATTTTTAAAAGAGTAATGTGGAAATCTTATGCTGACTGATCTTTTCCATTCATATTCTAATAACTGACTTTTCTACAAGGGAAAAGAATATGTAATATATATCCTGAGAGTATAACAGTGATTTTCAGTGATATGAAAATAATGTATCACATATGTATGTATTAGAGAATGTAATTACTGTACTGTATATACATCTGAAAATAAAACTCTATCTTTGACAATACAGTATATACTGTAGTTTTAACACACATGTAGCAGATGTGTTTTAAAACAGCTTACTTTAATTATAATTTCAGTTGTAATTCATCTTGCTTATTTGGTTTGGTATGTTTGGTTTGGGATTTTTATATAAGATACAGTATGCTTCAAAGATCCATTTGCTTAAATATATATTTTAATTGTGGCAGGTTGCAGACAAACCAGGGATCAATAAGAACATGCTGTAAACAATACTTTCCTAATCCTTGTGTAATTGCCCCAGCAAACCGTGGGTTATTAAGATCTTTTATTCTGTTTGGCTTTTGATGGAATACCAGACTATTTTGTGATTGAAATGTTCTCTACAAGTTTAAATATCCTCCCCCACTCCTTCTTTTTGTCTTTTCGTCTCTTGAGAGCAAATGAAAAACATGTTCCTTAGGTAGTCTTAATAGGCAGCCCAGAGAGACGAAGCACATTAGTCATCCTTGGCCTTCTGTTGCTCTTCAGAGTCCCCAAGCCACAATACAATACATAAAGAGCAGACAGCAGTCAATTCAGGGTTCCTCACTGCAGCTATGGAGCCGTTCACCTCAGAGTCAGAATGTCAATCGGTAGAAGAAAGTAATTACAACACATTCCTCGCTGCTAATTATGGCATTTTCAAAATGCAGCTTTGCAAAGTATGTACTGTATGCAGCATTGCCTTACAGCCTAAATAAGATTGAAATCACCGTGCTGTGTGTAATGAAAATATGCAGTGTTGAATTACTTTAATCAGAATTCATTTCATTCAATTTTTTTCCCAAAATAATTACAGCACACATTTTTTGTTGTTAGCGAAAACAAGGTAATGTCTAAATCAGTAACCAGATAATTGTCGAATCTGCAAGTAGTAAAAATAGACAAATGTAAAAAATGACATGCTACGATGCCTAATAGAGATAGAACAGGCTAGCAATGAAAACTCTAGCTTATAGCTGATGCATGACAGTGGCAATAATCATTCATTCTTGCTCTGTCTTTGCCAGGGAATCAAGGTGTTTATTTGATAGAAACCTTGAGTGGAAAGCAGTGGCCAGGTTTCTAACAGACGCCTCAAAGCCAACTTAATTTTCTTGCCACCTGAGCAGATTCAATCTTTGAGAGTTGCCATTTGTTTCTGACACTGGTACCATGTTCTTATATCGCCCTACACTAACATCTAACCTCTTGACAACAGACCTGGCCTACTCTTGCTTTGAGAGGTAGAAACCTGAACTACTAGCCATAAACTTAAAATAAATTACTGTAAGGCTAGATCTAATTTAGCAGGGGAACTCTGTGTCTACTGATGCACATCTTTAAGCAGCATAATACTGGGTTAATACATTTTGTAAGAAATACATTAGAGGTAGAGGTGATGTTATCTGTCTTCAGTATCCCAGTTGATATTGTTGCATGGTAATGCACAGGGGCTGTTTTCTATTTACCCATTTTTATTTTTTTTGAAAAAGAAGCAAGGAACTTCTTTTTCATTACAATCCTGAGATGGATTTATATTCAACACTTTGAATGTGGCTTTCCTTTCTAAATTGAAAATTGTAAAGTATTACTTGGAAAGAGAAATCAATCTTTAGGGGGAAAAAAGGAAGGAGTATAGATTAAAAAGTCAGATCTCCAAAGATTTTGAAATATGAGGAGCCTGACTTTGCATGTAAGATTAATGATATGCATTGAGAGCTGCATCACCTCTTCCTCAATGCAGATCCTGTCACAAGAAAAACAACACTCATGTATTCACACATCGAATGGCAAAAACATGATATTAAGCACATTGATTTATATATACAGTATATATGTTTAGGTTATGTTATATTTTATGTTTTCCTAAACAAAGCATTTTCATCTCCTGCATTTCCCCAGAAATAAAAAAGAAAAGGACCTCTACAGTCTAAGACTGTATGCCTAATGCCAAAAGGCTTTATTTTTAGTGAGTGATGAAAGGCAGCTATAATGAATTCTTAAGTTTATTAGCACTACAGAGTGTGAGAAGGACATGAAGGTCAGGAATGAGAGATATATTTATTTCATTGACTACCCCTGGCGGTTGAGGATAATAGTCATCAATGAACTGGAAGGCCACTAATAAGACCAAGACAAGATCAGTGCACTTTCCAGGTTGAGCAGGTATTGTCTCAGTATACTGTATATCTGGCCTTGT